AGACACGTGTTTATTTTTTCGGAAGTCCATTAGCTATTCAATATTCTTCTCCACTACCAAAATTCAAAGACTTCAATTCCCATGTCATCTTTATTCATTGTTCATCTTTCAGCAAGATGTTGTTGTTAGGTGCCTTCAAGTCCTGTTCAATTCATAGCAACCCTATGAACAACATATCTGAACTCTGTCCTGTCCTGTGCCATCCTCATCTCTCTGACACACTAGATCCCATTGCTGGGATTACTGTGTCACTCTATCTTGTTGAGGGTCTTCCGCTCTTTTGATGACTTCTGCCTTTCCAAGCATGATGTTCCTTTCCGAGGAACAGTGTCTCCTAGTAACATGCCCAAAGTCTGTGAGATGAAGTTTTGCCATATTTTCCTTCAAAGAGCACTCTCATTGCACTTTCCCTCAAACATATCTGTTTGTTTTTTTGGCAGTCCATGTGATTTTCAGCAGTCTTCTCCAACACCCCTATTCAAAGCCCTTGCATACTGTGACTTGGCTCAGATGCACCCTACGGAGCTTTCTCTTTAGGGAGCTCTGGTGGCCTAATGGCAAGAAGCTGTATTGCAATCCTGAAGGCACGCAGTTCAAGTCCACCAGCTGCTCCACTGCAGAAGGGTAGACAATCTCCCATGCGATTAACTGCCTCTGAGAACTCGTTGGAGGATCACCTTTCTGTTTAGCACCTTGGAAAGGTCTTCAATGGCAGATGTTTCCAATGCAGTATGTGTTTTGATTTCTTGAGTGTCACTGGTTTATGTAAGATATAAATCTGAACTTCTTTTGCCATGTTGGTTTCACCAACAAACATTCCTTTCTCCATCTTTTCTTTTGAGTCTCCCAAATTTCTAAATGTGTCACTGAATATTTACATGAAAATAATGCATAGGATGATAAATTTGAAATGAATCTATTATTGTGGGCCTTCTCTGAACTAGCTCTGCCTGAAAAATACTTGGAATGGTATTTATTAACATTTAATATTTTTATTTTTTTCTTTTAAATAAAAGGAATAAATAGCTTTCTTTAGCTATTTTTTAAAAAAAGGAATTAGAGAAATAAAAATACTGTGGTGGATTAAACAGTGTCTTCTAAAATTATGTGTGGTAAATTCTAGCCTCTATGTCTGTGGTCGTTTAAAGAATTCATTTGACTGTGTGGATCATGACACATGACAGCCAACATTGAGAAGAATGAGAATCTGAGAACACTTAATTATGCTCATATGAAAACTGTGCTGAAACCAAGAAACAGTATTCCAAATTGAGCAAGTAAACACTGCATGGTTTAAAGTATGGAAAGCTGTTCCAATGTCTTTAGCCCATTTAGCAAATGAGTTATCAGTCTTTTCCTTGTGGAGGCCCTTCAGTATTCTGTAAGCTTTTGTTAGGAGACCTTTGACTGAGATGTCATTGCAAATGTTTTCTGTAGTCTGTAGATTTTCTTTTCACCTTCCTGGCAAAAGTTTTTTATGAACACACATAGAGACTTAAATTTTTAGAAGGTTCCATTCATCAATGTTATCCTCTCCTGGTTGTGCATTTCTGGCTATATTTGCCAGCCTCTTTATGCCATAGGCTAGGTCTTCTAAGTTTGGTCCCATTTTGTCTCTTATGATCTTTATGGTTTGAGGCTTTCCCCATAGATCTGATCTACCTTCAGTTGATTTTTATGTATAGTATAAGCAGATATGGATCCTGCTTCAGCTTTCTGCAGGCAAGTGTCCAGTTTTGCCAGCCCCATTTGTTGAAGAGTTTGTCGTTTCCCCATCTGATACATTTTTTCCCCTTTGTCTTATACCAGTTAACCATATGTAGCTGGGTTAATGTCTGGGTTCTCTATTCTGTTCCAATGATCTATCTATGTGTCATTGGACCAGTACCATGCTGTTTTTATTACTACTGCCATGTAGTAAGTTTTGAGATCAGGGAGTGCTATGCCTCCCATTTTGTTTTTCTTTTTTCAGAAGTGCTTTGCTTATTCAGGGTCTCTTTTCCAAATGAACTTTCTAATTGCCTTTTATATCTCTGAAAAATTAGTTTGGTATCCCTATTGGGATTGCATTAAACATGTAGATTACTTTTGGTAGGATTGTCATTTTCACTAGATTGACTATATTATTATCAATGAACAGAGAACAGTTTTCCTTTTAGATAGGAGTTTTCCTTATAAAGGTCTTTATTGTCTCTAGTTAAGTATATTCCCAAGTATCTCAGTTTGTGGTTGGCTATTGTAAATGGTATTATTAGTTTTCTTTTCTGTGTTTTCTTTGTTACTGTAGAGGAATCCCATTGATTTTTGTATATTATCTTAATGTCCTGCCACTCTACCTAATTGGTCAACTAGGTTAAGTCTAACTTTTGTTTGTTTAGTCCTTGGAATTTTCTGTGTATACTATCATGTTGTATGTATACAGTGACCATTTTGCCACCTCTTTGCCAATTTGAATGCCTCATTTCCTTCTCTTACCGTATTACCCTAGTAAGTTAAGTATTTGTACTTGTAGCAGGTAAGTACAATTTTGAATAGGAGTTTTGTTATTTGGCATCCTTGTCTGGTCCCTGTTCACAAGGGAAACACCTTAAGTGTTTCTCCACTAAGAATGATGTTGGCTTTTGGTTTTGCACATATACTTTTCACTATGTTGAGGAAATTTCTTTCTATTCCTATTTTGTTGAGTGTTTTAATCAGGAAGGGGTTTTGGATTTTGTTAAAACCCTATTTTGCATCAATTGATAAGATCATCTATTTCTTGTTCTTTGCTTTGTTATTGTGATGAATTATGTTTATTATTTTTCTTATGTTGAACCATGCTTGCTTATCTGTTATGAATTACACTTGGTCATTATGAATTATTTTTTTTTTTGATGTACTGTTGAATTCTATTGGCCAGGATTTTGTTAAGGATTTTTACATTCATATTCATGAGAGATACTGACCGGTCATTTTTCTTTTCACGAGGAAAAACATTCAGATGGTCAACATAAAGCTTTTCGTAAAGAAAAGCTCAAAATCACTGGCACTGAGAGAGACACAAATCAAAACCACAGTGAGATACCATCTTCCCCAGTAACAGTGGCAAAGTTTAACAGGATAGTGAGTAATAAATGTTGGAGAGAATGTGGAGAGATTGGAAGTCTCTTATACTGCTGGTGGAATTGTAAAATATTACAACCACTCTGGAAGGCAGTTTGGAGTTTCCTCAAAAAGCTGAACAAAAAGAGGAACAATTTTAAAAAATGCTACGTACTTGGGAGAGACTAGAGAAAATGATGCTGAATGAACTAACTCAGCCTCATACAGACAAATACCGCATAAGACCATTATTGTAAAAATAGGCAGATAACTAGTAAAGCATATATGGAGATGCAAGGAGGGAAGGGGCAAAACCACAGAGGCGAACAATTTGGTAGGTGGAGGGAGAGGGTGAAGGAAATGGGAAAAATCCAGTGGGCTCTTGAAAAGATTAGGTAATAATGGGCAAGGTCCAAAGGTGATTGATTTTATAAAATATAGTGCATGAGAATGATGGTATGAAACATAATATGAATGAAGAATAGAGTGAAATACAATGTATATGAATTTTGTGAGCAAACAAAAAAAAAAAAAAAAAGAAAGAAAAACCCCACAACTGAACATAGAAACTTCATATGGCCCAGCTATTTCACTGCTAGGAAGATACCTCGAGGAAAATAGAACTGAGAC